GCAAAGGCCAGACGTAGGCAGACCTTCCCAGCCACCCTAGACCAGCATGTTCCCAATAAGCCCCAGGACATTTGTCCTTCAGATCCCTGGTCATCGGTCACAGCTAAATATCTGTGTCAGTCTTTGACTAATGTGGCCTGGCACATGATGGTAGGTGCTGAGCAAATATTTGTTGAACAAGTGAATGGAAGCAGCTGGCAACAGCTAGCAAGGGCCAGGCAGAGGCTGGAGGGGCTGCAAGGGCACCAGCAGCCTTAGCCTCAGAGTCCTAGGTGAGAGTCTCTCAAGGGTCCCCCAGCCTGTCCCAGCCAGCAGAGCCATCCTAACCTTAGAGCCCCCTGAGCAATGCAGGGCCTCAGCCCTCTTCAAGTTGAGGTAGGAAAGCTCTTGACCTTCCTGGAATCTGTGCATATAGGGGATGGTTGTCTTTCCTTCAAAACACTTAGAAACATCTTCCCCTCTCCCCCCCCCCAAAGCATAAAAATACGTCATACTTCTCCAAAAGAAACTGGGGAAATTTAGAAGTAAGAAGACTGGGAGTCGTAGCTCACACCTATAATCACAGCTACATTGGAGGTGGAGATGATAAGGATTGTGATTCAAGGCTAGCCTGGGCAAACAGCAAGATTCCATATGAATAGATAAGCCTGGCATGGTGTGGTGGTGTGAGACTGTAATCTCAGCTGATCCAGAGGCAGAGGTTGGAGGATCACCGCTTGAGGCTAGCCCCAGGCAAACAGTACAAGACACTACCCAAAAACCAGCTACAGCAAAACTCCAGCTGAGAGCCTGGCTCAGGTGATGGAGCCCACAGGAGGCTCTGAGTTCAAATCCCAGTACTGCTCCCCCAGTGACAGTGTGGACCGTGTCCTGAACAGTTTCCCTTTGGTGTGAAGACAGGTGCTGTTTACGCGTCTGTTTGTAAAACTGTGGTTTGGGTGGCCCCAGGCAGTGTTAGGCAGTGCTTCCGTCCTCCCAGGCGCCTCCCCCTGCTCAGGGAAGGTGGGAAACTCACTGAGCCTCCCCCCAACACACATACACACACACAAGAGTCTGGGTGTCCATCCAGCTCCTCTGCAGGCTGACCCTTGCGGTGACTAGAATCGTGGAAGGGCCAGGGTGGCCTCCACCTGTCCTTTCTCTCAGGCTCCAGTGCCCTGAACAAAACTAGCCCCAGGCCATTCAGGGTGGAGTGCTGGCCTCAGATGGCTGCTGGGGTGAGTCTGGCCTGGCTCCTGCACCCCCTGAGGAGATGAGGTGACCTGGATTGCCAAATGGGAAGCAGCAAGCACAGAGGAGCCACTGACCTGGAAAAGCGGGGCACTGGATCAACACCCAGATTCCTGGTTGATAGCAAAGGTTGGGATAGAATCCCGGGGGCCATCTGAGGAGGAAGCCTCCCCTCCCCCATCTCCCTGCTGATCCAAGCCACAGGTCGGGGCACCGGACACCCTCAGCCAGGGTGCAGTGGGACAAGGACACGGCAGCTGAAGCAGCTGGGCGCAGGGAGACGTGGAGCTAGACGCCCCGGCAGGGACTCCCTGACTGCGCTCTCCGGGTTGACAGGGGTCAGGGTCTGTCAGGGTCCCGGTTCAGAGAGCTGGCACACATGGAGGCAGCACACGTATCTAGCCTGCACACAGCCGGGGTCAGTGATCCTGGCCCTTTAGGTGCCAAGTTCTGAGGACGCAGCGTGCCCCCAGCTCACAGGGCACAGAGCCAAGGGTCTCAAGCCAAGCCTGACCCACAAGTTGCTCAACTGAACGTTAAGGAGCACTGCAAACTGAGCCTCTGGCCAGTGTAAGACAGCTTTGCCTCCTCCGTGTTTGCACCCACTAGAGGCACCGTGCCAGGCGCTGGGGACCCACGTCACAAGACTGAGGACTTTCTCCAGAAACTGATAGCGGGTCACACCGGGGCAGGCAACGGGCGGTGCACGATTTGCTGAGTGACAGAGTGGAGGAACTGAATGCCACTAGTCCAGGAGAGCTGGGTGAAGGGAGGCACAGGTAGGTCTTGAAGGAGAGGGAGAGAGAGGAGGGCGCTCCAGGCCAGCACCAGCACGAACTCCATGTTCACATGCGATGCTGGAGCCCAGGGCAAGTAGCAGGCAGAGCAGAGAGAGCGGGGCTGGAGAAGGGACCAGAGCCTGTGGCTGGCTTTACTGTGACCCAGGACTTACTGTCTGGCAGGAATAGCCAGAGGGTTTTAACCAGGTTGTCCTGGACAGAAACAGCCGGAGACTGGCAGGATTCAGGAGGATCCATAGGTGGGGAGACCCCGCCGGACAGGGACCTGCCAGCTGTGATCCAGTCTTACCTAGTACCGTGTGAGGCACATAGCCTAGGAGCTAAGACGCAAATCCTGCGCCTGCCATTACTGTGTGGCCTTAAGCCAGCTCCTCTCCCTCTCTGTGCTGCTATTGCCTCATCAGCCAAACGGGATATGAATAGATAGTCCTGACTCAGGGTTGTAAGAATTAGAAGTGTCACCGTGCACCTCCTGCCTGGTGTGCCGGAAGGCCTCGGAGAATGGCAGCTGGCGCCGCGGTGACAAAGGTGGTCCCCTGCCCGCAGCTGTGTTCGGGGAGCCCCTCAGGCAGCACCGCCTGGCAGATGGACCGTGGTGGTCCCGGTCATCGCGGGCAGGGCCGGGGCATTCTCACTGAACACAGCCTGCTGCTGCGGCAGGAAGAGCACTTGGGGGCCGCCCAGGTAGCCTGCTTGCCCTTGACCGGAGACCATGCGTCCCTGAGCTCTGGGCCACCTGGGGTTCCGCTCCTTAACCAACTGCCCACAAAATGCACCTGTCTGCGGGAGCTGGGTGAAGCAGCACCCGGCCTGCACCCCTAGAGGACAGGCGCACATGCACTGTCTCGTGGGCTGCAGGGCCTCAGGCTCCAGGCCAAGGGGCTCCTGGCCCTGGCTGGCTGCCAGGGAGGGGCGGAGGCCGCCCGCAGAGGAGCACAGCCAGCAGCCAGGGCTTTGCCTGCCCACGTGCAGATTAAAGCTCGTGCCATGCCGGGCTGTTTTCACTGGCAGGGTGGAAGGGAGGAGCGGAGGGCCTCACAGGAACGCTGGTGGGTGGGGTGGCAGCGGCCTGTGAAAAGCCGGCTGAGTGCCTGGCCGCAAGGTTGTTCCTGAGATCAGCTGCAGTTGAGCAGTCAGAGCTGCGGAGGGCGTCTGGCAAAAGGCAGGATGGGCTTCCTAAAATACGTAATACAAATTATAAGTAAAAGACAAGCCATCGAGTGCAAAGATAAAAATACAGTTCACAGGATGGGTGCACATTTGGTTCCTAAACATAAAAAAGTAAGTTTAAGATTGTTCTAACAAAAATACACATTAAAACAACACTGAGCTGGGCACTGGTGGCTCACATCTGTAATCCCAAGATTACACGGTGGGCTGTAGCTAGATCTAAAAGTGAAGCAGCCCAGGGAAGGGTGTGAGTTTGCAACAGCCCGGTGACTCTGCCCCTTGCCCTCTGGCTGTGTCCTTAAGAGGTCACAACCCAGACTAGCTGAGCTACTCAAGATAGAGCACCTGAGTACTAAATGGAAGGCAGGCAGGTTCAAACCTCAGCTCCACAAAAAAGAAAAATAGGGCACAGCCAGAAGTGACAACTTGGGCTGAGAGAAAAGTCAGTATGAAATCAAAAATCCTGGTCTTCAAAAATCTAACCAGAGTCCAGAACGGCATCTGATCCCAAGCAGGTGTGTGTGGTGTACTTCTGTAGTTCTAGCTACTCAGGAGTTCGAGGCAGGAGAATCTCCAGTTTGAGGGTGACCCACCAGCCAGGTGGGCGCCAGTGGCTCATGCTTATAATTCTACCTTCTCAGGAGGCTGAGATCTGAAGATTCTGTTTTGAAACCTGGTTTTATTCTGATTATAAAAAAAGGTGTCTCTGTGTCTTCATTTTGCTTTTTTGTGTTGGTCCTGTAGCTTGAACTCAGGGCCTGGGTGCTGTTCCTGAGCTTTTGTGTTAGTACTGTACCACTTGAGCCACAGTACCACTTCCAGATTTTTTAGTGGTTAAAATAAAAGTTTCGGGCGGCTGGGAAGGTGGCTCAGTGGTAGAGTGCTTGCCTTGCATGCATGAGGCCCTGGGTTCAATTCCTCAGTACCACATAAGCAGAAAAAGCCAGAAGTGGCACTGTGGCTCAAGTGGTAAAGGGCTAGCCTTAAGCTGAAGAGCTGAGGGACAGCACACCCAGGCCCCACGATTGGCAAGAAAAAAAAAAAAAACCCTGAAAAAAATAAAAGTCATACACTTTCCTGCCCAGACTGGCTTTGAACCAGAATGCTCAGATCTCAGTCAACTGAGCAGCTAGAATTACAGGTGTGAGCCACAGTGCCCAGCTCAGTGTTGTTTTAATGTGTATTTTTGTTAGAGCAATCTTAAACTCACTTTTTTATGTTTAGGAACCAAATGTGTACCCTTCCTGTGAGCTATATTTTTATCTTTCTCCTAGATGACTTGTTGTTACTTATAATTTGTTTTACTCATTTTAGGAAGTTAGCTTTTGGATAAAATTTGCAAATGTTTTTGTTTGTTGTCTTATGGTTTTTACTGTTTACAGTGTTTATCTTAATGTAATCAATCTTTTACCCATAATCTTTAACCTATAAAGTTCTTTTGAGTTTAGTGCCATGCATAACTCTGAACAATGTATAATTTTATTCACATAGTTTCCTGTATCTTGTGTATTTTTGTTTTAACTTTCAATCTGTTATGTCTTGGCACACATCTGTCATCCTAGCTTCTTGGGAAGCATAAATAGAAGGATTTCATCCAGGCAAAAAAATGAGCCCTCAAAACACAAAGGTCATGACTCAAATGGCAGAATACCTGCCTTGTGAGCACAAGGCTGGGGGTTCAAACCCTGGTGGAGAAGAAAATAGTAAATAAAGTTACCAGCGGTGGTGCTCCAGCCTACCCCGTTCCCACCACCCTCCCACTGTGCATTTCCTTCAGCCTCCTCTCTCCCCTCTTCCCAGGCTGACAGGAACCGTCCTGTGAGGTCCATCTGCGCTCAGACCCAGACCCAGACGATGCCAGAGCTATGACCAGGCCTGCAGGCGTGGCTCCGAGCGGAGATCAGCCATGGAGCAGCCACAGGAGGCGGCCCCTGAGGTCCGGGAAGAGGAGGAGAAAGAGGAAGAGGCAGCGGCCGAAGGAGCCCCGCTTCCTTCTAGCAGCAGCTGCACAGGTGAGGGGGGGGGATCCCCGCTCTTGGTGAACAACACTAGGTGGGTGCAGTGTGCGGACACTACCCCACCCCTACTGCTGACCAGCAGTGGGCAAATTGTACCCATTTGTTCTGGAAAACAGGGTTGGTAGGCAACATGGACGGGGCATCTGTGAAATTCACAGGGGTGTGAAGTGCAGGTGCCACCGCTGCTACCAGCGGGCACCCGGGCCTGCATTAGCAGTGCGCCAAGATAGGGAGCAGCCCTGCGATTGTCCTGAGCAGTGGCAGTGCTCACCTCAGACGACCTGGTGTCAGTTCCACCTGTCACTGTTGAGGGGCATTGGCATCAGCTGTGCCGCCACACAGCTAGATGGCCGTGATGGCAGGCAGGTCACTGTCACGGTGCTCTATTGGTGGCAGTGTGTGTATGCATTGTCTCCCCTGGTGGCTCCAGGCCCTCCTCCTGGGCACCTGTTTTTCCCTGCTGCTCAGCCTCGCCTCTCAGCTCTCGCCAGTGCCTCAGGCCAGCACCACCAGCTGCTCCTGCCCCCGGCCTCGTGGCACTGGGGTCATGAAGGGTTGGTCTACAGTAGAGCCCCCAAGCTTGCTCCCAACCCCCCAGAGTCTACCTCGGGCAGGCAGAGAGGTGCTGTCAAGTGAAGGTACAGATGTTGGGGTAGGGCAGGCTCCTGCCGGGGCTCACAGCCAAATGAGGCCCAAGTCCTTGAGCCTGCAGAGCAAGTTTTCTCCTCTTTTGGAAGCAGGTGGGCTGGGGTGAAGGAGAGCCATCCCGCAGTCCTGATCTACCGGGACATTGGGCATGACTAAGCAGGCCAAGTCACAGCTAGGACCAGAGACAGAATCGCATCTCCCACGCCCAGAATAGCCCACTTGCTTAGTGGTGGCCAGGATGGCTCTGCAAGACCCAGCCTCTGTCAAAAGAGGGGGGTGGCTGGCCCACAGTGATGATTCCCCCCAGACCTGAGAAAGGCAAAGAGGGTTGAAAAGTCCAGAGAAGAGGTTGGAGCCAGCAGTGAGCTGGGGTTGTCAGGAGGCTGACCTCACAGCCTGGCTCCCCTCATCTTCCCCCTGCACCCCTGCCGATCAGGGCGTCCGTCCTCAGCTTTCTCATGCCCCGTCCTTGGGACCTGTGTCACGCTGGGAAGTGGCCGTGTTCACATGCAGGCCAAAGTGCAGGGGCGTGAGCAGGAGTGAGCAGGCAGGCGTGGTGACGTCACGGATGGGATTCCGGGTGTGGTGAGTGAGCAGGGCAGGATCTGCCCAGGCACTCACTCCGTGCTGGGCCTCGATCTGGTGTTCACTTCCTATTTATTAGTCAATGGGTGAAATGGAGGAATGAAGGCTTCCTGCTCCGGCATTGCTTCATACCCCCGAATGGGAAGTCTGTGACATATACAAACTTCCTGTCTTCTATAGGAGAGGTCCCTGGTGAACAGGACCAGTGATCAGAAAACACAAAACGGAGTTTGCTCTGACCAGTGATCAACGAAGGCATATTAAGATGAGATGTCACTTGGTCTCTCGGGCTGGCGGAGGGGCCGGGGGCAGGGGCTAGTCCTTGGCCCCCGAGGGTTGCAGGGAGCGTGCTATTCATTCTTTTCACCCTGCAGCTCCCTCTTAGCACAGGGCCCCCACGGAAGCACGTCCCGCAGCCCGGGCCTGCCATGCTGCTCCCAGAAGCTCAGTGGAAGACAGTCTGTGAGGATCTGCCGGGGTCGGCTGGCCCCAGGCCTTGGGGGATACCCTGTAGTCACTGACAAGGGCAAGAAGGTCTGTGGTACCTCTACCCTGAGAGTCACAGAAGGTACTAGAAGAGTGTACAACAAAGGGCAGTGAGGCAAACCTGGTGGCCGGGGTTTGCCCGTCATGAGACGCTGCCCAGCCCGGGGTGTTTCTCAACAAGCTGCAAGATTTTCCTCATTTAATAGAAGTGCCTTTACTGCTTTTTCTTACAAAGTTAAAACAAACCGTTGAAAGGATTGAAAGGGAGCTAGCGGCGAGGGAGCCCAGAGACAAGCCAAGGCCCAGGAGAGCTTTGAAAGCCACACAAGCCAGAGCAGGGACGCCAGGTTGCCACTGTGGGCTGTGGCTTGGCCAGTCGCTTCCACCCCTCCATCTTTGGTTCTCTATTCTGCCCCCATGAGCTTATAACTTTGACCCCAGTGTTCCCCTCGGGGACCGGAAAGGAACATGGAAAGAGTAGAAAGGTGACATCGCTGCTTTACCCCCAACCCCGCATGCTGCCTTGACCCGGTCCCGCACAGACCCCGTGCCCCGCCCCAGGAGACAGGCAGGACTGACCTGCCGTCCGCACGCCGCAAGCCTCCTTCCCTGCAAACACTTGGCGGTGCCCGGGCAAGGCCAGGCTCTGTGCCCAGGCTGACCACTCAGTGACAGGCAAGGCTGCATATCCCCTCCCTCTCCCTCCCCCGTTGCCCAGTCTGGGCGGACAGGACAGCAGAAGCAAGGAACTGCTTGGTACCCTGACTTAGGAGTTAAACAGTACCTGAAGCCTGAGGATCCCGCCAGCAAAGCAGATCCACCCAGCTGGGTCCTCTGGGCTGCCTATGGGAGGGTGCTCATCACACATGACTTGTCATCAAAGATGGCGAAACTGATACTTCTCTCTCTTGTTTACACTGAATCTAAGCATTGGGTAATGACCTAGAGTTACCCTCAGCAGTGACGTTGGGTTGTCGTTTAAGGCATGTGAATGGATGGGGGGGGCAGTTCAGTTGTTCTAGGCCATTGACGGCAGAGCCCTTTTACTCCCCCAGTCGGTTTCTCCCAGTGTGTCCACGTCCCAAGCTCAAGCCCAGACTTAGTTCTCTGAGACACCATTTCATAGATGAGAAAACCAAGAGCCACAGGGCTACAGCTTGGGCCCCAAGACCTTGCTTTTACCTCAGGACCGCTAGCTAAAATGTGGTAGAGCTGGTATTTGAATTTGGGTCTCATGGTCCAAGTCCTGTCCTGAAACCAACAATTTGGAGGTGGTCTACCATTGAGCCCAGAGAAGGAAGCAGACTTCCCCAGCAGACACCGCGCTGGCTCCGTCTGGGGTCCTGTGGCACGATCTGCCCTTCCTGCTGTTCCTGCTCTCTATCTTGTATTTTGGTTTTCTTGTTTATTCGTTTGTTTGATGGTGAGTACTGGAGTTCAGCTCAGACACTCATGCTTGCTAAGCAGGCCCTCTACTGATGAACCATGCCGCCAACCACTTTGCCCTGGTATTGTTAAGATAGGATCTCACTTCCTGCCTACCCGCGTGTCTCACAGCTGAGATGGCAAGCAGGCACCATCACACCCAGCTTCTTCTCCTGACATGGAGTCTCATGGACCTTTCTGCCCAGACGGACCAGAACCAATAGTCTCCCAATCTCAGTCTCCCACATAGTTGTGAGGACAGACATGTGCCACTGTGCCCAGCTATGGGTCCCCTAAACTTTTCTACCCAAACTGGCCTTAAATTTCAATCCTTCCATTCTTAGCCTCCCAAGTAGCTAAGATTACAGGCATGATGTACTGGTGCCTGGCTGCTGTCGTTTTTCTAGTCCCCTTTCTTCCCCTTCGCCATCCTCTCCCCTTTTTTTTCTTTCCTCTCTCCCTCCCTGACATGCTAGGGAGGCACTCTATCACTGTGCCACTCTGCCCAGCCCTCCTTATCTCTTACCTCTGTTATCTGAGGGCAGGGTCAGGTCCTGCCCTGCACCCAGCAGGTGCTCACCTAATGTCTGTTGGTGAACAGAGGAGGTGGCAGTGAGCTAGCAGCAGCCAGTGACCTGACACTCACCCAGCCTCCAGTGCCACAGGGGAGAAGGAGGTAGGCACTACCAGGAAATGTGACCAATCAGTAGCCGAGACGGGCCCTGAGACCCAAAGGGGGTGTGATGAGAGACCGTGTTCTGAGCGAGGCCCAGGGCCAATAGGGGCCACAGACGGACATGCGCACACAGTGCCCTGAGCCAAGGAGGAAGTGCAGGGGCCCTCCTGCCAGCCTGCACAGCTCCACAAAAGGCTTTTGTTCGTCTTAGCACCCTGTCTCCCAACACCAGCTCCTGTGAGTTTAATGCCCCCAGGAGTGGGGGTCCTGCGAGCTGGGGCAGGATTCCCGCCCAGGGAGCTTGAAGACATTGATTTCCCCGGAGCCACCATGCCCACCCACCATGGCTCCAGCAGTGCAGGGATCTTGGCGTGGACTGCAGTGCGCCCTGCCTGTGGTCCTACATCTAGTGGACATTGCTTGGTGATGAACAGTCGTTCATAGCCTATGGGTGAGGACAGGTGCAGAGAAGCCTGGGGTAGCCCCCAACCCCCAGCTCCTGTCTGGGTCAGTGAGAGACCCACACTCCTGGTTGTGGGGCCAAAAGGGGGTTGGACCCTTGGAGTGACTAAAGTCGGAAGGTAGGGTGCTGGGTCAGGTCGGGCCATTTGAGGGACTTGTGTCACCCCTAAACTTCAGCCAGGAGGGTAGCAGCACTAGGGCCAGAGGGGCCCCTTCTGGGAACCTGGGGGAACAAGAGCCATCAGGGAGGGGAGCGGGGATGAGGAGAAGAGCCAGGGCTACTTGGCCTGCGTCAGGAGACGAAGGGCTGTAGGCCGGGGCAAGGTCCCCATGGCTTGGCTGGATTGTCGTCCAGTGCTTCCGCTCGGATGGCTGGTTCCTGATTTGGGATCCGATGCCTGCCTGTAAGATCCCTGAGGCATCCCAGGAGCGAGGACAGACAGGAGGCGGCATGGCAGAGATAGGACAGCGGGGGTCAGGAGACCAGAAGACCAGGCCTCCTGCGAGGCTTGGAGAAGACTCACAGATTCTCACTGAGTGATGTAACAGCACACCTGTCCCGCAGCCGTGCCCTCCCCCGTGCTCCCTGACAGTGCTCTCAGCACCACCATGCTCTCCCGTGCTCCCTGTGGGTGCTCCTGACACCACAGAGAAATCTGCACATTCAATGGGAAAATCAGTATGTTGCTCAGTCAACTTCAATACTTATGCTTTTAAGGGAGAAGTTTGAGGTTCTGTGGAGATCTACCCTGTCATCCCTAGAGTCCTCACAGGATGGGGGCCCAGGGTGGGGGGCTGGCTCTGTGCCTCACACCACCTATACAGCCAGTCTCTAAACTGCGACAGCTGCTTGCTGAGGAGCAGCCGCAGATTCTGCCCACAGTGCTCCTGCCACAGGAGGGCCGGGCAGGAAAGACTGGGCTGTGGGGTACTGAGCACCTGCCTGCTGGGCGTTGGGCTGTGGGAGAAAAGCTCTGCTGGCTTTTCCCAGGCCCCCAGAGAAATGTCCTTAGCTGCATGCCAGGTGAAGAAATGCCTCCCAAAGGCCCTCCAGAGCCCCCACCGTGGGCTCTTCCTGCCGCCGGGCCTCGAGGCCTGGCTGACAGGCGTGCCGCGCTGCAGCCCCTCTGTCCTGTGTCCCATGTCCGCAGACCTCTCCCAGAGCGCCTCGCCACCTTCACTGCTGGACCAGCTGCAGATGGGCTGTGACGGGGCCTCGGGCGGTGGCCTCAACATGGAGTGCCGCGTCTGTGGGGACAAGGCATCGGGCTTCCACTACGGCGTCCATGCGTGCGAGGGGTGCAAGGTAAGGACTGGGGGTCACTGGCGATGGCGGGGGGCGGGGGGGGGCGTGACAGTACCCACTGCACAATCCCCTGGGCCTTGCAGCCTGAACGCTGGGCCCCGCAGGAGGGATTTCTTTGCCAGGCCTGTCCTGCAGGGGACCTGCCTGCCACTCACTTGAAGTCTGTGTGTGGCCAGCGCCCCCTGGGGCCCGGGCTCCAGAAGGCAGGCAGGACCTGCCTTCCTACGTGGGCTCAGGGCTCCGGAATCTCAAGGCTCAGAGAGGTTCTTTGAGATAAAAGGAAACACTTCATTTCTTCTTTTTTTTTTTCTTTTTCTTTTTTGGTCATGGGGCTTGAGCTCTGGGCCTGGGCAAAGTCCCTGAGTGCTTCAACTCAAGACTGGTCCTCTACCTTGAGCCATAGCGCCGCGTCTGGTTTTCTGATGGTTTATTGGAGATAAGAATCTCACAGACTCGCCAGGCGCTGGTGGCTCATGCCTGTAATCCTAGCTACTCAGGAGGCTGAGATCTGAGGATCGTGGTTCAAAGCCAGCCCGGGCAGGAGAGACCGTGAGACTCCTATCTCCAATAAACCACCAGAAAACCGAAAGTGGCGCTGTAGCTCAAGTGGTAGAGCGCTTGCCTTGAGCTGAAGAGCTGAAGGACAGCGCCCAGGCCCAGAGTTCAAGCCCCACGACCGACAAAAAAAAAAAGAATCTCACAGACTTTCCTGCCCAGGCTGGCTTTGAACCGTGATCCTCAGATCTCAGCCTCCTGAGTAGCTAGGATTACAGGCATGGGCCACTGACACCTGGCTTCCATTTCTTTTTCAGTGGACTTCTGAGTTTTTCTTCCTAGCTCCTACCCATCAACACCCCACAGGTTGGGCTGGAGGCATGGTTCAAGTGGTAGAGCCTCTGCTTAGCAACTTGAGCCCTGAGTCCAAGCCCTAGTACAAAAAACAATTCTTTTCATAAAGCTACCACTTGTAGAATACACAGAGCCAGGTACATGTATGAATAAATCAAGGTAGCCATGATACAATTTTATGTTCCCAAACTAAGAAACTTTAAGACTTCTCTGTGTAAATGAATATGGTATATAATTTTAATTATAAAGAGTTTTTTTTGTTTTTTTTTGGGTCCAGTCGTGGGGCCTGAACTCTGGGCCTGGGCGCTGTCCCTCAGCTCTTCAGCTCAAGGCTAGCACTCTACCACTTGAGCCACAGCACCACTTCTGGCTTTTTTCTTTTTGCTTATGTGGTGCTGAGGAATAGAACCCAGGGCCTCAGGCATGCAAGGCAAGTGCTCTACCACTGAGCCACCTTCCCAGCCCCTTACAAAGAAGTTTTTTGTGGCCGGGCACCAGTGGCTCACGCCTGTAATCCTAACTACCCAGGAGGCTGAAATCTGAGGATTGTAGTTCAAAGCCAGCCTGGGCAGGAAAGTCTGAGAGGCTCTTATCTCCAATTAACCACCAAAAAACCAGACGTGGTGCTGTGGCTCAAGGGGTAGAGCACTCACCTTGAGCTGAAGGGCTGAGGGACGGCGCCCAGGCCCAGAGTTCAAGTCCCACAACCAACCAAAGAAAAAATAAGTTTTTGATTCCCCTCCAAAAGCTGTCATCCCCAGCACTTGCAAATCACAGCAGTCAGTACCCTACACGTGACCAGCCCTGTGCGCTCGCGCCGGGCACTCACCTCCCCCCTCAATGCCCAGGGCTTCTTCCGCCGCACGATCCGCATGAAGCTGGAGTACGAGAAGTGCGATCGGAGCTGCAAGATCCAGAAGAAGAACCGCAACAAATGCCAGTACTGCCGCTTCCAGAAGTGCCTGGCCCTGGGCATGTCGCACAATGGTGAGCGCGCCAGCGTGGCCGGAGGGGTGCCTAGAAAGTACTCGGGGCACACCAAAGCTGGGACTCCAGCTGCTGCTTCTACACATCCGGACCAGGGTCTCAGAGCCTGAGACCTGCCACTGCCCCAGACGGGCACCCTCGCTGGGTCCAGGCTGGGCCATGTCCACCTCTCTGTAGCTGTGGCTTCCCTGCTTGGCCCATAGGGTTACTGAGAATAGACCCCAGCTGAGCCGTGTTGGGCCTCCTGCGGTCCCTGTCACCTGACCCCAGGACTCCCCCCAACACTCCCACCCCAGTCTCCTTACCCAGCCCCATGTCCTCCAGATCAGACACTTGATTATTTTATTTTTATGTTTTGTTGTTCATAGGGCTTGAACTGAGGGCCTTGGGTGCTCACGTCCCTGAGCTTTTTTGCTCAAGGCTAGCACTCTACCACTTGGAGCCGCAGAGCTCTACTTCCAATTTTCTGGTAGTTAATTGGAGATAAGTATCTCAGGGACTTTCCTGCCTGGACTGGCTTTGAGCTGTGATCCTCGGATCTCTGCCTCCTGAGTCGCTAGGGTTGCAGGCGTGAGCCACCAATGCTGGGCTCAAGACACTTGTTTACAGCCCCACAATGGGCAGCTACTGGACCAGCCTCCTCCTGCAGGAGCCCTAACTTCCTCATACCCTAGAGGGTGGCGAAACACAAGTCTGCTGTCAGCAGCTTTAGTGGTGAGCTCTGGCCCTGTCCCAGTGGGGGCCTGGGAGGGGCCTTGGGAGGCCTGGGTGGACTGAGTTCTTCCCTTCCAGTCTCCCAGGCAGGCCAGATCCTGCTCCGTCACTAATGACGGCTTACTGTGTGACCCCCCCATAGTGCTTACTGTGCACATACTCTCCTTTAACTGTTCCAGTCACACAGTTAAGTTTTAAGAGTGTCAGCCCATCTTGCCCGATAACAAAGAAAAAACTGAAGTTGCCAGTCCCAGTGCCAAGCAGGGACACAGGTGCACACCTTGGCCACCAAAGTATCTGCCTGGCTACCAAAGTGTCTGCTGCTGCCCTAGTCTAGACAGCACAGATCTACAATGGCTGCTCCAGCATCACCATCTTCTCCACTGAGGGCCCCAGGCCCAGTAAGGATGGCTCTTTACCTGTGTGCCTTTAGAGAAACTGGGAGGTTACAGGTGCTGGCTCCTGCAGTCTCTCAATGATTACCCCTACCTGTGCAGCCATCCGCTTTGGCCGGATGCCGGAAGCTGAGAAGAGGAAGCTGGTGGCTGGGCTGACGGCCAGCGAGGGGCACCAGCACAACCCGCAGCTGGCTGACCTGAAGGCCTTCTCCAAGCACATCTACAACGCCTACCTGAAAAACTTCAACATGACCAAAAAGAAGGCCCGCAGCATCCTCACTGGCAAGTCCAGCCACACAGCGGTGAGTGTCACTGCCCGCCCTGGCCACGTCCCCTGCTGCCAGCTGCCTGCCTCCTGGGAGAACTAGGCCTCCTCCGTGCCCTGACGGCGGTACAGGAGGGGGCGTGGGGGACAAGCGGGCAGGGGTCCCCCGAGGCCTGGCTTTGATCGGGCCTGGTTTTCAGCCCTTTGTGATCCACGACATCGAGACACTGTGGCAGGCGGAGAAGGGCCTGGTGTGGAAGCAGCTGGTGAACAGCCTGCCGCCCTACAAGGAGATCAGCGTGCACGTCTTCTACCGCTGCCAGTGCACCACGGTGGAGACTGTGCGGGAGCTCACCGAGTTCGCCAAGAGCATCCCCAACTTCAGCAGCCTCTTCCTCAACGACCAGGTGACACTCCTCAAGTACGGCGTGCACGAAGCCATCTTCGCCATGCTGGCCTCCATCGTCAACAAAGACGGGCTGCTGGTGGCCAACGGCAGCGGTTTCGTCACCCATGAGTTCCTGCGCAGCCTCCGCAAGCCCTTCAGCGACATCATCGAGCCCAAGTTCGAGTTTGCCGTCAAGTTCAACGCCCTGGAACTCGACGACAGTGACCTGGCTCTCTTCATCGCCGCCATCATCCTGTGTGGAGGTGAGTGAGCGGTGCCGGCCCGCAGCCGGGCTCGGGGCCGGCATAGGCCGTGCAGGACCCGTGCGATCTGGTGCAGATGGGGCACGGAGGGAAAGGATGAGGAGCACACCGCCACGCTTACGGGGCTCATTTGTAGGTGGTGGGGAGATTTCTCCAATTGGCCTGCACTTTTCAAATGGCAGCGCAGTAAGTGCAGGCGTCGGCTGTTCTGATAAATTGTAACGCGTCTGGCCCTCACAGCGGCCTCGCGCAGGAGACACTGCTCCCCCTGGTTTACGATGAGGAAGCAAGCTCGGAGGCCAAGTAACCTGTCCAGAGCATCATGAGGAGACTTTGAATCTGGGCGCCAAATCTCCCTCCATGATGCATCACTCCCCTACCCAATCAAGAAAAAAAAAAACAGAAACCGTATCAAGAAACAAGGTGGGAGGGACATGGGCAGGCGCTAGAACATTCGGTGGAGCCGATGCTGGCAGAACAGGCTCAGGTCTCTCCCCTCGGCCAGGTCCCCTGTGCAGTAGGGAAGCTCCTCCTCCCGTCAGACTCCATGAATGCCTGTGTCCCCACAGACCGGCCAGGCCTCATGAACGTGCCACAGGTGGAGGCCATCCAGGACACCATCCTGCGTGCCCTCGAGTTCCACCTGCAGGCCAACCACCCCGACAGCCAGTACCTCTTCCCCAAGCTGCTGCAGAAGATGGCTGACCTGCGGCAGCTGGTCACTGAGCATGCTCAGATGATGCAGTGGTTGAAGAAGACCGAGACCGAGACCTTGCTGCATCCCCTGCTCCAGGAGATCTACAAGGACATGTACTGAGGCTGCCCCAGGCCTCCTGGGGAGCCCCTCTGTGGGACTGTTCCGTGGACCAGCCCACGAGCACGCAGCCCACACGGCCGGGCACACTCCACTCCAGACACAGGAAGCCCCGGCTCCCAGCCTTCCTTTCCTCCGCCCGGCTCCCAGATCCTCCTGTCTGCTGTCTCCTTTCCCAGTCCTGTCTTCCTGATGCCTCCAGTGCTTCCTTGCCCTCTGCTTGTCTCCCTCCTCCTCGCTGCCTTTCCGTCCCCACGCTGGTCCTCTGTTGGCAGTCTCACCAGCCGCCTTGGACAGGCCCTCCGCCTTTGCTCCTGTCTTCCCAGGAGCACCCCGCCCCTGGGCCGCCCCTCGTCCTGCTCCTGCAGGCCTAGGGCCTCGCCTCTGTCGCCCCTGGGCCGCCCCTCATCCTGCTCCTGCGGGCCTAGGGCCTCGCCTCTGTCACCTGTCTTCATACAAAAGATTTGAGCCATACAAAAAAAAACACTACACTGTCTGGGCCTGGCTTTCTGGGTCCAAAGAAACACTATGCTGCCTGGGCCTGGCTTCTTGGAGGAGCCTGCCTGGACTGACTGCAGCCACGCCCGCGGCCACGGGGTCGCAGGGGCAGGGGACAGGGGGACTGGGTGGGGTTGCCAGATGCTTTCCTCAAACCTGCCCTTGCCCAAAGCCACGGCTACCTGTCTCCTCTTCATGCCAGTTTTCTAGGTCACTGTTGTTCATAGGCCGATGCTAGCTAGCCCAGAGGGAAGAATGGGGACCCTGAGCCCCCACTATAGAGGAGGGAGGTGGAGGCTGGTGGAGGGAACAGCACACTTCACTCCGACCTCCAAGGCCACAGCTGTAACCCAAGCTCACAGCTGTAACCCAAGCTGATCAAGAGGCTGAGATCCAGAGGATCGTGCTTTGAAGCCAGCCCAGGCCAAGAGGTCCATGAGACTCCATTTCCAATAGTAAGCAACACAGCCAAGCTGGGGGCCTAAGTTCAAATGACAGTGCTCCAGCAGAACGTGAAAGCTGAGCAAGTGCAAGCCAAGTTCAAACCCCAGTACCACTGAAAAGGAAAAGAATGCTGACCCCCAGAGTCGGAGTGGGAGTGGGTCCAAGGCAAGGGAGAGAATGGGGCGGGCCCTCCACGAGCCCTGCCGCCCTTTCCCTCCCAGCTTCCCAGCGGTCAGCCAGCACCATTTTATTCCTCCAGGAAATGCCAGCATATCTATCTCTATCTCCCTCCCTGCCTTCCTCTCTCTCTCTCTCTCTCTCTTTCTCTCTCTCTCACACACACACACACATACTGGCTGCTGCTCCTTGGAGCAATTAGACACGGAATCATGTGACCTCTACCCTCCTGGGAACCCCAAGGCCAGTGATCTGGTGACCGGAGAGGCCAGTCAGCCAGCATGGGCCCCACAGGTGCCAGGGAGCGCTGAGCCTGCCCTGCCATCCACTCAGCTTGCGGCTCTACTGCCCTCCCGTCCTTGTTTTCTTCCCCTGTGGTGACTGGAGACCTCGCCTGGGCTCCCTGCCTCCTCCCCAGCTCCCAGGTGGGGGCACGCCCTCCTCAGACCCCCTCAGCTGGCCCTGCTCAGCCTGGAGCAGGGGCAGAGCAGGGGCCGCAGGAGAGCGGGAGCCTGCCCTGGCCTGCAGGAGGCGCCAGAAGGTCCAGGTCCTGTCTGGTCCTTCCCAAGGGTCTTTCTGGGAGGAAATGGCCTAGAGAGGACCAGGCCTGTGCCCCAGGACCACCTGGCCCCCACCCAGGCTGGCCAGACCTTTGGGCCAAAGCTGTGAAGCAAGCGAGCATCGTGTGCTGGTCCAGCCCGACCCAAACCCGGTGCTGAGGCTGCAGCTCTTCGCCGTGTCTGAACAATCTCCAGAACTGAAATGTATATTTTTGCTAGGAGCCCCAGCTTCTTGTGTTTTTAATATAAATAGTGTACACAGACTGACAGAAATTTAAATAAATGAGAATTAAGTATTTAAGAGTCGACTGGAAGCTGGCTCGGTTCTTTGCATGCTGACCTCTGGGCTCCTCCATGTCCAGTGTGGGGCTGGGGGGGTCCCCACCACTGCCCACCCCAGCCCATCAGCAGGCAGTGTAGTCCTGCAGAGAGGGTGAAGGGAATGGAGGCATGGCTCTGCAGAGACCATGTACCACACGGCACCAGCCAGGAGGGCGGATGGAGGTCACAGGGGCAGTGAGCCCTGGCATTGAATAATATGTGGAACTTGAGAAACCCCAGCCATCTGATGGCTGCCCCAGCCCCCAGAACTTGCCCCTCAGTTGACACCAGTGTTCTCTACTTGTGGGCAGCCAACCCTCAATAGCCAGTAGCAAGATGGGGACTGGGGGGG